GAAACATGTAGGTGCCTAGTGAAACGTTGGCAACCTTAATTTAATTGAAAACCACCAGCTAGCGTTCTCGATCGGCGAAGCAGGGCGCGCCCTGGACGTGCTGCACGCGCGCGCGTTTTTGGAAGGGCGGACTGTAGGAATCAGTGAGGATATGGCCCAGTTCAAAACCAGCCTGGAAGCCTCCGCTCTGGCAAACAAAAGAACCGAAGAAAGCCTAGAGCGTGTGCAGCAGCAGCAGGAGGACTTCACACGACGGCAGGAGGCCATTGCGAAACGGGACGTGGTGATCAAGGCACGAATTGATAGTCTCGAAGGGTATAATGCAACACTGCACTGTGCATCGAGTATGCTGTTACGGACATCGTGGATGACTTGGTGCAAGAGGAGCTCGGGTACTGCTTATTGGACCGAATGCAACGCATCCGATTGTACGACCAGCACGGCAATAACATCGGTGAGGTTGACGGGCTGCTGGTGTATTCTGTGACTGGAAGTGATGACAAGATATGTGTGGCGGTGGAGGCCAAGAGCAACATGACACCGCAAGAATTTAGCAAGGTCCACGCCAACATCCGGTACCTTAAGAGTGCCATCGCGACGGGCATGGATGCACGTGGAGCTTACAAGTACAAAAAGTTGTGTCACTCCCTCGTCACTCTGAAGGATGCCCAGCTGTTCGTGGCTGTGGGGGCACCAGTTGTGCCTGCCGAAATCGCATCTTCGGCTGCCGACCTTGGGTACCTGGTGGTGGAGGGTATTAGGGATGGGCATTATAAGGCTTTAGGGCCCTCACAGGAGCAATGGGTCAGTCGCGTGCGTGGTGAATGATGGGTGTCAACATCTGAAGGTCCTTTGGCAGTGTAGTAGCCGGCCGCTGAAAAGGCCTCTCGAAATGCTGGTGGAGCACTCAGTGTGTATTTGTAGTTGTTCATGGTGCCGAACAGTGTACTGGCTGCCCTAAACCCTAAACAGGCAGCCCGTTGCAACAGGCTGCCAAAGGACGAGCTGGCTGGGTGGGGGCGGCTGCTGAGTATTGAGGATGGCGACTTTGTGCCCAGTTGCTTGCCTTCTGTATTTTACCTGGACAGTGTGTAGGTGATTTATTCTGGAATCTAGGTGAACGGTATATAGGCTATTTAGCTCTCTACCTATTATCCAAGACTTAAACACTCGTTCCTAAAGAGGTGCTTGTGTACATTGTGGCCTAATACAGGACCTAGTATAGGCTTAGTATTATGAGTATTTTTTTACGTTGTAGCCTATAGCATAGGATGTTTAGGCTATGCGGTATTCATGTTCATGTATTTAATGCTGCAAGCAACATTAACTATGTAGGTGCATGTGCACATGATTGCCTATAGCGGGACCTGTACAAAGATCTCATAATAGGTGATGTTGTGTACATGACAACCTATACAATACCTTGTTTAGGCCATGAGCTATACATGTTATGTATAGCCGTACGTATACACTTTTTTTGCCTCGGTGAGGTGGTGTTGGCAGCCTTCGATAGGTGTACTTGCTAGTGGTAGTTACACAGCTGACCTTCAGGGACCAGTATGTGAGTGCTTGCTTTGTGTTTGTTTTCTTTGTACAACCGCGTATCGGCCTTTGTGGTGTAGCGACTCAGACCTGTGCTTCTCCGTGTATGTCTATGCCGGCTGTGTGGGTGCTCTTGACTAGGAGAGTCTTTGAGAGGCCATGTCTTGTGTGGGTAGGCCTGCCCTTGCCTCGTTTTTCTTAGTGTGTAGTGGAGCCCCCTGTGTAGAGTCTCTGCCCCCAGTAGCATTTTCTGTTTGTCTGTTTTGTTGGTCTAAAGGAGAGAGCTCGCGGCTAGGCAGGCCAGGGGCAGGTAGGGGCTGGGAGAGTGCCTCGGCGGGCGTGAGTGAGGGAGTGAGGTGTGTGTGGAGGAACAGACAGTTGGAGCTGTGTTTCGGCTGTTCAGTGAGCCATCCACAGTGTAACATCCCACCAACTTGACGTTGCTTACGGTACACTGAATGTTGGTGCAAGTGTACGTTATTGCCTATTACAAGACCTGCACATGTCATATGCATTCGATCTTATAATGCATGCCGAAGCTTTTTGAGATGTTCTGTGTTTTACAAAACTTTAACACACCCTGTATTCAGGGTCGCGCGAGCTCAATTCTGCATTAAGCACTTTTAAAAATCATTTAGGTATAATCAAATTGTGATAACATCGATGCTTTACTCAGTTTGTTTCGTTCGGTGCACGGTGAACTTGCCACCTGAGAGACCTGAGGTGGTAAGTTCGCAATCTAGTTATCTATTTAACAATTCAGGATAATAGCCCTTTAGCAAATAATGCGTTTGCCGCTTTACGTATCTGCGAAAATGCAACGCTTGCAGAGAATTGTATTCATATCGGATTCTTGTATTGCGAGCTTGCGATAAGTAAGCTGGGTTAGTTGGGGAGTAAGGCCCAGTGCGTAACTGTTAGACTAACCGTTTCTCAACGGCCCGTGTCCTCAGGGCCGTCATGTATTGCGCGCTGATAAGCTGATAAGCGCTGATAAGCTGTTGTTCAGCGAGCGCTGATCAACGAAACGGATCCCGCGCCAGAGAAGCTGGAGGAGAAGCGTGCCTCTGTTACGAAACCGCTGTGCCTTCGGCTCTTCAGCGAGAGCTAACGGGTAGAGTGCAGTAAGGTCTAATTACTAGCACCAGGAAAGTAGTAATTTCAATGGAACGAGGTCACGATGGCGGCAATATTTCCAGTTGCTCTGGGGATGATGCCGCCGGCGGACCCGGGTACCATCTACACTACACAGCTGATGGGAGTGTCGCATCCTGGGCTTCCTCCCGGTCATTCTGCCCCGCAATACTTCAGCGCCGGTACGGGTCAACAACTCCCAACCACCACCCCGGACCCGACGGCGTTCCTTGTTCAAATGGCAACAGCAGATAACTTCTTTGACGGCACAGCTTAACCACGCTACGCTCCAAGGTGGGAACGGCCGGACTCGGGGGAATATGCCACCCTGACTCAAATTTATGCGAATCCGAGAATGCAGCGCTCGCCCGTCGATTCGTGTTTTCCGTTTCCTCCGTGGATTTTGAGTCGGCTGCCGGAGGTCATGGATGTAGAACACCTGTTGTTGCATGACTTCCGCGCCATGCCCGAATGGCGGGAATTAGAGCAATCGCAGTGCAGCCACCTGGATCATGCCGGTCCGCTCCTTTATGAGTTTGGCATTATCGTTACGGTGTTGGCTATTTCTGAGTTGGTCTGTGTAGGAATGGAAGCGTTGGCGAAGGCGTTGCTGTACGGCGGCATGCAAGATACTTGGTCACGTGCCAAAATGCGCTCGCTACGCTATGCAGTGGCAATCATCTATCTTGTCGGCGCATCTGAATTGCTTGACGACTTTCCCTAAGGCTGATCCCGTTACGAAGGAATTTGATGAGGAGCTGGCCCAAGCAAAACAGAAAGTGTCGGTTAAGCAGCTCACGGAGCGAGAGTTTAGAAGTCGCAATGCTCCAGTGGGGCCTTTCCAGCAGAATAACTTCTGCCCGCACCGTGGACACGTTGGTGTTTCCATTGGCGCTTCATCGCGCCCCCTTCCGTGCTGCGGCAGGATCTTCCATCCGGGGCGCGGCCTCCCCGGGGCAGCGTGAATAGTCCGCCATGTCTAGCACCGCCATTCCCCGGCATGCTAGGGCATCGATGTGGCTGGCCGCCTGGGAGGCAATTGGAGCAGATGTGTGCATGTTGCAGTCTTGAAGCATGGTGTGCCAGCTGAATTTTGAGGTGGCTGCCCACTGCCTGTGTTTGGCCTGCCGAGTTTTCCTGCCACAGACGAACAGAGCCGTTGGTGGACCCTTCCCGTGCGTTGATCAAGTGGTCAATGTGTTTTGTGTCCCTAAGCCCGACAGTGGTCCATGGTATTTGGTAGTCAATCTAAAGCAGATGAATATCGCCCAGAAGGCATATAGGTTTCGGTACGAAACCCGCCGCACCCTGCGGTGTATGTGCCTCGAGGGCTCTTGGATGGTGAACCCTAACCAAAGGACCCTAACTGGCTAATGTAAGCCGTAACATAGCGGCCGTCTTGAATGCATTCTATCATTTACTCAACTTCTCTCCACTTGGGGCAGGGGGGCCATATGTACGTTTCTGGGTTGGTCACGCTAAATAATCAAGGCTTGACGTAAAACCCTGTGATCGTTACTACATCTTACGGCACCAAGAGGCTGCTGCCAACTTCGGTACACATTTACAATGTTACAGAATCCCTTAACCATTCCCGCTCTCCTTGGGTTAATTTGGCTGCAGACAAATGATCTTCCAACGTGCATGATTTACAGTTCCTGCAAAAATCGTTAGAACGGTTAAAGGTCAACTACTCCGCCAGATTGACTGGTTTTATGACTTCTGCATTGGAAGGGTGTTTCCTACTGAGCATATGTATTTCTGGTTATAAATGTGAAGCTCCGGCTCATACACGAGGGAAGCTGTCGGTAGCTCAAAGCTATGGTTGCACACATTCTGTATATAACGCACGTCCTGGCTCTGTACATTTATGACCGCATTAGATCATAAGGTTTGTGCCTATCTTCATGGCAAACCTTTTTCACGGACCGCGATTTCGGCGCAGGGCCCACGAGCTGATTTCGAAAGCTACGCGCAAACTCATCTGCCCTACACGGTTCCAAGATGTAACTTGCCAGATGAGCATGAAGTTATTTCCCTTGTGCAAACATATACACCGCTCCCGAGAAATCCACCATACCACTGACCTCCTCCAGAGAGGTGTTCAGGATAATTGATGCTTGTTAGAGTCGCCCATACTTCATATCTTTTACATTCTCTTCTACCACAGAAGCATCCTAAGCTCTGGTACGCGTTTCAGGGGCAAATACTTAAGGGAAACTGGCAAGAAAAAATGCACCGAGTCGGCAAATTCGCACCTCTTGTGTTTCTATCCATGCAAATGTACTGTAAGGAAATCTCAGGGGAAATTATACGCTGATGGCATGCGTAAAAGGCTCGGGGCCATTCTGCAGGTTGTAGCGGTTGGCCATGCAACTTGTTCCGCTTTGTCCCACACGGCTCATGCCATGTGTGGCTCTCGTCTGCTTCCTTCCGAAACCCTCAGGCAAGTGAAATGGAGGCAACTGTCATCCAATTGACAGGTGCATGCATGACGTTTCCGTTTGGCGCCGGCCATCCCTTCCTCGATTGAGCTGGGCATCTCCCGCACGATGCACATGCACCGACCAGATGCTTCAACGATTGGATTCTCTTACAGGGAAATTTCAACACCGCACCCGGGTGCCACGCGCGTTGCGCTCTGGCTTTGCGCGAGCAACCGCTGTTCACCATGGCTTTCTTGGCCACGGGCTGGTGCACGGGGCCTCCGACCGTCGCGCTTACCAGCATTCCGAAACAGAACGCAACGCGCCGATGTCGATACAACATCAGCTTCCCCAAAGCCAGTACTCCAGCAGCTCCGATCCCTCCATCCACAGCTTCGGTTTCAACCCGCCTGCTCACATGCCGAACGAGTGGATGAGCGACTCGCACACACGCCCCGCGAACAGTAGCCTGGCCGCACATGGCTGGTAAGTAACCAAGCGATACTAAGGTATTTTACAAAATCTGGGTCAGAACGGTAAAGTATCTTACCACCAGCATATAATACCCAGCGTCGTATGATTATGGCCCACTCATCAATCTATCACGAACGTTGCCTTTTGACTTTGGATCCCATCTGGCTTGCTTCCCGCCCTGTACACTACATTGAAGCTACCGGGTAGTGGGCCCTGCCCGCATCAGCAAGCGAGGCGACACGCTGGTGGCCCACCTATTTCGAGGCTCCCGAGTGGAACTGCTTGACAGGTGGGATGCCCAGATGCAGCTCAACGCTCTGCGTTCCCATGAAGCCTTGAAGGTTAATAACTTCGCCACTTCTGCCTGGCGTAGGCATATCCTGGTTGAGCTGTCTTTCGAATACCTATGCTCGCCTTGCCTTTGCGGTCCTAACAGCATAATAGACCGCTAGAAAAGTATTACACAGCAGTTATGGACATGGCCTATCCCCATTCGTTGCATTGTAACCTTCACGCGCTCTGAGGCCTAGAACGCGCTGCGGTGTGGGGGCGCCCTTGCCAGTCTATCCGTGTCCGTTGCCGTAGCTGCGGCCGCTGTCCTCCTTATGCGCCGTTATGGAGGCGGACATGTATACTTCTCTGTGCACACAGACACGGCAACCCCACGTCTTACGGGTCCTTGGAGTCCCTGAGTGAAGACGCTGACGTGGCAGCAACTTCAAGTGGGGAGAGCTTCTCTGGCGGCAGCGCCCTCGGAAGTCAAGCGGACAAGGAGGCCTGCGTGGCGGAGTGTGTGCTGGTGGGCGCTCACGTGGAGCTGTGTGGGAGCGCCTGCAGTGTCGACCTGGTGGGTGCGGGGGAGGATATCTCTTTGGTGTATTGACTGTTAACAGATTCGGGAACAGCCTGCTGCAGTGAAGTTTAATGGACTTTCGAGCCGCGAGATGGAGGACTGCTGACGATGGCACACTGGGGCAATTCTACCGAAGAAAGCAGGGTCAAGTCCAGGGCAAGATAGAAGTGGCAGCAATGGGTTTCGGCGCACACATGGCTGATCGACGCATACACGGCGCCCCTCCAGTGTTCCAAAGCGGATTTCGTGGCTGGTTTTAGCAATAAAATGTAAAACCCCAATGGCGCCCATTGGTGCTTGGCGAAGTTTTCGAATTTGATGTGGGTCGGGTCAAGGGCTGCCTCCCAGGTCGTTCTTGCGTGACTCAGCTTCATATGGGACCCGTGAGTCATTTGGTGCCATAGGGCCCACGGAAACTGGCCTCCGCAACATAAGGGTTTGCGGGACGTTCTTTCCCCCACCGATCAGGCGCCACTGGGATCTGAGCATGGATGAGTGCAACTCTGTAGGGCCGTGCCATGCTGAGCCAATGTTTTGCTCCTGCCGTCCCTGCCCAGGTTGACCTGTCCGTGCAACCTGCCGTACACCACCGCAACGGCCATACGTACCTCTCAGTGCGCCACCTGCCGCCAGAGGCGGTCATTGAGCTGGATGCGGATTCAGACCTGCGACACCCGATCAACATTACCCCGGTAACGCTGCTGCAGAGGGAACCGAACCGGGGTGCTAGTCCCACACGGGGGTAGCACATCTTAAGACCGAACCTGCTTCTGACTACAATACCCTTACTACGGAGATGTGCTTCGTGCGATGCAACGGCCCGCAGCCCCCATGCTTTAAGACCGCTTACCTGCACTGCCCTGCCGGCTCGGCTTCTCGGGCAGTGTGTGGAAGGGAGCGTGCGGTCTGACTTGGGAGTGAGCCACGTGCGGCGGGCAGGCGCGTGTGCTTGGCTGTTTTCATGCCCAGATGCACTCAGATTGCCATGCCTCGCGTGTTGGGAGCATCGCTGCGGTTTGTGCAACGTATGTCGTATATGCATATGCATGGCATGGTGGACGAGCTGCCGGCTGTGATCAAAATCAAGCCATCTGATGACTGTGGTCACTCTTAAGGTATGCATCCGCAATGTCTCCGTCGGTTCTTCAGTTCACACGAGTAAGAACATGTAGGGGCGTGATCGAGAAGTTTTAGTTTCGGCTTTCCCAGGTGGCTTTTCTCGGGGTACACCTAAACGTGAAAATTTCGTCTGGCGCGTTTCAGGTGCTTGTGTGGTGTCAATCTGTTTAGAGATGAAAAAATTACGCACACTGGAGCAACCTTGTGCTCCCTGCTCGTCCATTTGCTCGTGCATTTGCTTACCTTTGTCGAACATTTGCAAAAGGAAAGCATAAAACTTATAAATTCAAGTCGAAGAGTTCTTTTTCGGATGTTGTTGGTTAGCTGGTTGGTTGTTGTTGGCCAACAAGTTGATGTTGCCGTTGGGGTCGGCATCCCGCTACCCCCATTCCGTTCCCCGCCAGCAACTGCGTATGACACGTTTGGCTGGGCAAGTGCCTCGCTTCAGCCGTCCAGGGGCTACAGAGACAACCTTTTCTTCAGACAGACAGATGTATTGCTTGCATCGGCTCCCGTGCAATATCTCGTTAGCTATGATGCTATGAGATATGCTATGATGCTGCAGGTCGATGTAGGGGTACTTCGTTGCCCGCATTCGTTTTTTGCATCTCTCGTCTAGGCATGGCAGTTTTGAGCGGAGTTCGAACAATATTTCGGACTGCTGTTTGCAGTTGGCAATTATCTCTATTTGGTCCACACTAAGATTGCATGCAGCTTGCTGCATGGCAAATGAATAATAGTCCCGTACATGGTTCTGACGAGCAGATTCGTTTGTTGGAAGATTGTTCATCAATGCGTTTTTGCATGTCTGTGATCGAAATCCACTCATGAACATGTGCGTCCGAAACACCGGTGCAGAAGGGCTGTTGTTTGTTTCTGTACTTTTCCAGCTGTTGCTGCATCTCTGGTGCTTCTGTACGATTACTCCGTGGGGGGTTTAAAGATGACCGCCGAGTTATCTTTGTCTCTCGGAGTATTCGGAGGAAACATCGCTGTGTCTTTCCTCGACGATTTCCTAGTTGCAGGAGTGCGAATGCCCTGGGTGTGCATGCTTTCGTGCTCGGTACTTGCCATTGCACTTTCTTTTTCCAGGCATGGTCAGGCATGGTCAACCAATGGCGGCTTTCTTTTCTCGCTCTCACGGAGTTGTTGTTGTCGTTACAGGGTGGTAAAGCTTCACAGTTGTTGCTTATCTTGCAATGTGATAAGACTTTGTATGCCTGGAAAAAACTGATAAAGATCCTCTTACGGGGTTGCGTTAGCATCGGCACCCGACGGCCCCAGTGTACTTTGCGGTTAAGGCCATCCCTTGCCAAATGCATAGCCGCTCGATGCGGCTGCGCACAGGTGCTTATTGAGGTGCAGCAGCAGCACCACCACTACCGCATGACCACAAACCCGCTGTGAGGTACGATGTGGGCTTCCAGTTTTTTTCATTTACGTTTATGACGCCTCCCTCCGTGCACCGTTCACGAGGCGTTTGACGGAGTGAAGGAGGCAAATATGATTGATGCCTCCTTGACACTGCCTTCGTTGCTTGCATGTCGCGCGTGACGTGTCTCCGTTTCAGGCGCACTTTGCAAAATCGACATCAATCTTGGCCTTTCGGCTACAAGAGCGTGATAGTCCCCGATGCGCTTTTATGAGAGCTATCTACCTGGCAGCGCCACACCCTAGGTACCCTCATCCTGCAGGGATGACGGCTGGATGCGGCACGACCGCCCATGGAACTCGGCCCGGTCGGTGTGTGGTGTCTGACCTGGCCAGTGTCCCACGCCAGTGTGGGCACCATGGTGATGTGCACAGTAGATCGGCACGTCGATATAGGCCAGCGGGCCGTTTAAGGTTGGGAGGTGACGGCAGGTCTGCGCCGGGGACAAAGGGCTAGGACTCTGGGCCTTTGTAGTGGTGATCGTGAAGGAAGGCGTGTAAGGAAAGCGCTTAACCATGACGTTTCGGGGCAAAGCCATCCAAGGCACCCGAAAGTCCTTAGGGTAACGTTGGGCTAGAGAACGAATTGCGCGGCCTCTAGACATCCTCCTTGTTTACGAGGAGGTCGTTGAGGACTTGGGCGGGCTGTCAATTGGTTATGGGTCCTTATAACGGCTTGTTTTGCGTAAATGTATGTGTTACCCAGCGCCAGAGTCCGTGCCAGTTGTAGTCTCGGGATTTTGTGTGCGATGACAGCGAACGAGGTAAAACAATCCTGCACCTGTTTTTTACCGTGTGTGGGCCACAACAGCTCAACGGCGAAAGTCGAAGCGTGAAATCTGCAACACTGTAACAAAATTCCATTCCTCGGGCATCCGATTACCATGACGTTCTTGTACGCGTACGAACCGCCGTAGCACCTGTGCGAATACAAGTTAATCTGTCAGGCACTTACCTAAATGAAGTTTTGAAGTTATGCGGATGCATGAATAGCAGTTGCTGTTGTTGTGACGCTTCTCATGGCATGTAGCGGCATGGCTAAGTCATGGGTTTCGGTTGCCTCGGGTAACCTGAGAAGCACCCGTTCACGAACTTCACAGAGTTTATAAGCTATAGCTGCAGGCCCACCTAGCTGATGCATTATGGGATAGCCCTCTGGGTCCTTCTCCTGTACTCAAGCGTGCAGGCATGGTTCATGAGCGCAGCACGTTTCGCCTCAAGGCAACAAAAGTGTTCACCTGAAATTGAGTGATAAAATTACTTCGTGCATGGCATGCGTATGGTGGAAAGGGGTAGCTTCTCTGCTTTTCGTTTATTCGTTACAACGCGGTGTACGGCATGTTTGAAGTTAATCAATGACATGTATTCCACATACCATCGATATAGGAACACCTTGAAAGCGCTGGGACACGTATTTCACATTTAGTCATATTTTGCTTGTAAACTTTCCATCATGGCCCAGCCAGGCGTTGCCTCGCCTGCGAGTGTGGGCTCCCCTGTGCCAACGGCAATGCATATGGTTATAGTGACACGACTTAAAGATTATGTCTCAAGTATTGTAAAGCAGGTTAGCAGAGGCTTGAGAAGGCGAGGGAAGGTGCAGAAGTGTTCGCTGACAGCTCCTTAATACCTGTAGAGGAAACCCTGGAACGAGGTTGTGGACAGGACGGCTTTCTCGAAGCCAGGCAGCGTGGCCGAGGTACTGACCTGCTTGCAATTGGTCGAGTCGCTGTTGCTCCATGTAGACGGGCCGTGGACCGTTGGACCTTGCTTGCGAATGCTTTCATGATGGTCATTTGCATTGCAGGCCACGTCACGGTTGCGCAAGAATGCGGCCTATTTTAAGGTCAACTACTTGATCGTCATGGTGCTTACCACGGCTGCAACCTTCATCATGCATCCTGGCTCCCTATTAGTGCTGGGATTCATAGCGGCGGCCTGGGTGTACCTGTTTATGATCCGGACAGCACCGCTGCAGTTGGGCGGACGGACGATCAGGCAAGAAAAGTTGTTATGTCGCCAATTCTTCTGATGCACCTCGTAAAGATGACGTTCTCTGTGAAATTTGTTTAACTTGGTTTGCAGCGACCGAGAGAAGCTCATCGGTATGTCTGCCCTGACCTTCATTACTATTTTCTTCCTGACGAGGTGTGTTATGCACGGCTATTGATGTTTAAGCTTGCGGGCATCTTGACTGACTTCTCTGGGCCTTGCGCAGCGTGGGGACTGTCTTCTTCTCTGCACTCAGTCTTAGCCTGGCAGTCATCGCAGCTCACGGCGCGTTCCGTGAGCCGGATAACTTGTTCATTGATGACGGCGAGGTGAGGCGAAAGGGAACTGGGGAATCCACGTGGGAGCCCTGTCTCTTGCTTGCCCGTGCAGCCCTATTTGTGACCTAGGCCGAGTGACCATGGTAGATTACGGGAACATGCGGTGCTCACAAGGCGTGGCTAGCTTTCAGCGACATCGCCTATGGCAAAAGCAGCAATGTCCTCCCCCGCCCCTTGACCGTTTGCTGCAGACCCAGCAAGGCCTCTTCAACATGTTTACTGCACCAGCCGTGCCGACGACACTAGCAACGACGGTATAGAGCAATTCAGCCAATGGGTGCACGTGGGGGGGTGCGTGCAGCAGGATCCTTGACAGCAGCTAGAGGAAATTTCACGCTGCGTCATAGGTTAATCTTGGGAAAAGCTGCTGTGCAAGGGCTGGATACCCGCCTGCCTGCTCTGGACAGTGGGTCAGGCAGCTGCTGGTCCAGCCATGTGCGTCGGGTTAGCGCAGCGGTGGCCCTTTGTGGTGATGCATGAATGCGTGGCATTGCCGTCATTTTGATGGATTGGCGCCACCAGGGCGGCGGTTGCCCTCGAACTGTACTTGGGACATGGCGTATGGAGACTGTCCGCGGGCGCCATAGTGAGGAATTATCATTGCTGGCAGTCTACAAAATGCCTGCTCCCAGGGAAGCCTCCATTCCGCACGTTCAGCGCTTTGCGATATGCGTGGCGCCACTTGCGCCGTCCCAGGATGGCCATGCACGCACGGGGTAGCACGACGGGGGCAGCATGCCGGCAGGCGTCTACAGGGGAGCAGGTGTTTTGTCTGACATCATGCTCGGGGACAGAAGGCTAATTACATAATGCACTGGAGCTAAGTTAGGGATAGTAAAAATGGATCAGGCAAGGTACGAGGGCCCTAGGGCGCCGTTTTTTTGGATCGACGGCGGTGTGGTCTCGAGCAGAGTGCATCTTAGTGGCGCTCAGCTTAAACGGGGCGTTAGGACGTTTGTGTTGCAATTCGCCATTCCTGAACTGAATTGTGACTCTTTTAGTTTGGACAGTGCGCCGGTTCACGAACACCTTAATGCCTTCTTGGTAATGTCGTTAGTATGCAGACTTAGTGGCTGTCGGGCGATGTCTGATAGTGGACGCGTGATTTCCTATTCTGGAAGGTTTTGCCTGACGTATTCCCCGCGAATGACCTGACTTATTTGATCTTGACGGCCATTGATGTTCACTTACCTTGGGTTCTGTGTGACGGCCAAGTTTGGTAGGTCCGCAAAGCGTTAGCCTTCCGAATGAAGGGGGGTCGGGTCATGGCCGTGATAAGGCAACATGATACTGGAAGCCCCAGCGGGAGTGATGAGCGGGTTGTCCATCGTTGAAGGGACAAAGGCGTTGGGGGGAGTAGGTTTGCCCTTTAAAATTTATTGTCTATAGTGTGTTTGCCGACATGCTGCAAAAAGACTTATGAGCGAGTTTCGTGCACGTGCTATCCGAGAGCATGAGCAGGTTTGAGAGGTTTTGGGAAGGGGCTGGTGCCCCGCTGTTGCATACTTCGCGTTTTTATTACATAGCCTCCCTGTCCAGGTCGCCAGGTTAGGCAAGCACGAGGTTGCACAGTTTCAAGGTCTCAGCCTTGCCACATTGCGCCTGTGTTGGCATGAGACGTCCTTCGCGACCTATACGACGATATGCCCTCCATCCCATGCAAGGTTTTAGCCATGACGCCAAGGCTGCCAGTTACTCGTCGGGATGCGCCTTTGCGGCCAGCTGGAGATGCTGAGCCAAACTGCCCCACTCGTCGTCTGGCAGCTGTAGCACCGTTGCAAAGCTGACAGCGCCTTCCAAGCCTGGACCACGCGGGAAGGTGGAGGGAGGCCAAGAACACAAAAGGAAGCGCCCCAGAAGCGCAGTCAAATGTCAGGCTTTCACATGTTCGGATTCGGACAGGCTTGCATGCCAGACCGAAGAGACAGCACTGATGGTAAGGAGGGAAAGTACAGTAGCGCTTTTCGACGGGCGGCAGAGCTGCAAAGAAAGACGGAAGTCCGCCCGCACTGCCATTGACAGATGCCCAGCGATTTTGAAGCTTTCGTTCTTAAGTGATGCAGAAGAATGGTGGCGAGCTCATGCGAGCTCATCACGAGGAGCTACGGAAGCAGCACACACGAGCGCTACCTGGCGGTGCTCCAACAGCGTACTGCAGACGCCGCGAAAGTGGCCTTCCGTGCTCAATTAGTCCTTATTCCCATCGACCCCGGGGCCCAGCACGTGTGCACACCGACACCCTGACAAAGTGGCCAAACGGGACAACAACAACGTAAACCCCACACGGACCAACAGCTGCCACTCCCCAACCTGCCGCCACCAGAGCCTCAAGTCGCGACGCCCGCCGCCACTCCCTTAGCAAGCATAGCAACTCCCAAGCGGACGCGCTGACGGCCTTCAAGCTTTCATTGCCGCCCTGTTGCGCTTGCTCACTGATGCCTAAGGCGCCGCTGCCGTACGACGAGGTGTTGCCGTACAGGTAGCGCCGCAGCTCCCGCCGCCAAGCGTCCCCGCGGCGGACAGCTGATATCACCTGTGTGACCACAAGGGTGCCGCATGACAAGACAGAGCTCACTAGTCGATGTGGGTTTCTACCGCAATGAATCTTCGGAGGCCCCCAGACAGCGCGTCTTAAAAGATTAGCGCTGTAGCCGCGTGCTTGCCGTCTCCGCACCAGGCGCCATGGTCTCATGCAGTGCTTGCCGTCTCCGCACCAGGCGCCATGGTCTCATGCAGTGCTAAGTTATTGATGCACCCAATCGAGGCATTCACACACTCCCCCAGACCAGGATTGGAAGCCCTACCTTATCCGCATCCAACATCCTATCTCGGGCCCATGCATATGGCCGTGGTGACAGGGCCCACCTACCCTTTTCACGCTTGCAATCGCTGTGGACGACAGTCCCTCCACCAGCAGCGCTGCTGACCCCTGGGTCGCGAGCACCAGCGCCGCAGCCGCCAGCCGTCCCACGCCTAGCAGCTCGCTGATCCCCCTCACCGCTTGATACAATCGCGAGCCCCTCCGGCCCTTTCCATGAACAAGAGTGCCACCGCTGCTCTCGCGACCTACGGCGAAATGAGCGGAATCCCCGCCGCCAACTTCTTGTGCTGCTCCGCAACAAGGCCCATCGTTGAGCTCCGGCGCTGCCAGGGCTTCGACAGCTACATCAGCAGCCGGAGCCGTGTCCGCAGTATCAGCCGTGGGCGTTGCATCAAGTAACAGCTGTAGCACACCGCCGCTAAGGAGCTCCGAGGGGAACTGTAACAGCAAGGCAGCCGCAGCTGCCGGCATGGGCGGCGGCGGGATGGTGGGGTCTTGAGCCTGCCTGCCTTCGGCAGCTCCCGAGCCTAGGTCAGCACCGACCCACGGGTCTGCCTCATCCGAAGGAGGTGAGACGAGCACCCAGGCCGGCAGCCCGAACCCAGTGATTTCAAAGGCAGCAGCAGCCGGCGCCTGGACCACCATGTCGCCAGGCATGCTAGTGTCCGCATCCCCATCCCCGCTGCCGCCAGCATCCGTAATCCCATCGCATTCGTCGACTAGTGCGTGTAGAACGCGCGCGCACGTGTGCATCGCCACACTGTCGTACATAAGGCTCGGCAAGGCGCGCAGGACCTCGGCGACGTCGGCGGCGGTCGCGGCGGCAGCTCCACCCAGCCAGTCCCACACCAGGTAGCCGGCCCGCTGGAGGGTGTCCTGCCGCCGTGTCAGCAACGCGGCATGGCTACGCCGCGATCGCAAAGGCCCATGAGGGGATGCAAACTTTGCTGCCTCCGTCCCAGTCGCTATCACTGCCACCGCTTCTGAGGTTGAGGCAGGGGACGCGCCGCGGCCCCGCGGCTCCAGCTGCCGTACGGATGCCGTGGGCCCCAGTATGGAAGGGCCGCATGGAAACAAATAGTACGACAGTGCGTCCAGCGGCACCGCCAGCCACGCGCAAAGCGTTGTCGTCGTTGCGGCCAGTTGCGCCGGCGGCAGTAGCAGCAACCCTGGCTCGGCCGCAATCACTTCGCGCCACAGCCAACTGCGAGCGACGTCGAGGTTCCATCCAGAACCTTCGACAGCTAGCGACGTGCCATACGGCCTGTCGTATGGCGCGGCGCCGCTGGCTTGCAGAGCCGGAGGTTCTTGTCCCAAGGGCATGAGGAGCCCGGGGAGTATGATGCGCAGCAGCTCAGCCTCGCGCAAGCCGAGATCAACGGGAATTGTGCCGACCCCAGCTACAGCGGCCGCCGCCAGCAGCGCCGCCTCACCGCCGGCAGTAGCAGCAGCGTTGCCGCCAACAACTTCGGGTCTTGGAGCTCCCAACTCGTCGTCCAAGACCGACACGCTCGCAAGGCCCCCGTCGGCCGGCGCGACCGTCCCGGCGTCGTACTCGTACGGGAGACGGACGAGGGGCCGCGGCCAGTCGGCGCTGTCCAATGCCAGGGACGCCGCGTCGACACGTCGCTTCCGGTGCGCCTCCTCTATCGCCTGTACGGCATCAAAAAAGGCTCTGCTCAGGTCCTTTGGGTTCCCCGCCCGTGTCGCCCTCAGCCTAGCCTCGTGTGTGCGCAGAGAGGAGGGCCCCTCCAGTCCTCCAGGAAACTTTCCACATCTCCAGCCTCCCGTCGCAAATGCTGTACGGCTCAACCCCGTGCCGTACATACGCACCGAGGGTGAGACCCCCTATCGCCACCCCGGTTCCTAATCGCCCCTTTGCGCACCTTGACCAGGGATAGAATGGTGATCCTTCGATCACGAACCATCACACCGCTGCCGTCCTCGCGACCGCCATCATCGCTTTGGCGAATTGGTGGGATCAGTTGGCACAGCAGCAGCCGCGGCTCAACTCGCACCAGCTCCGCCGCCCGATCGCTACCTGGCACCGTCGCCGCCACCGCCGCCGCTGCTGTCTCGGCTGCCGCGTCCCGCAAAATGCGTGCTAGCACCCCCAGGGCTGATGCTGCCCGACTTGGTTCCAACAGCAGTATGTCGGGATACCGCTGGACCAGCAGCTGCACATGCAGCGGTGGAAGCTGCTGCTGCTGCTGCTGCGAAGGCGGAGGTTGAGGCGGCGGTATCGACAACAGCCGCCGTTGCTTACCCCCCGGCCGGCCCTGGCCCTGGCTCAGCCCATCCGGCGGCCGATGCTGATCGGCAGCGGCGGCGGCAGTAGCACCTACTCTTCTAGCTGTAACAGCCGTAGCAGGAGAACTAACAGCAGCAGAAAAGGTCATCGGCGGCGGCACGAGCCCAGGGCTGTGTGCGCCTGTGGGTGGCGGCACGTTGGCGGCTAAAAAGTCCACCGCCGCCGCTAGCTCTGCCGGTGGCAGTAGCGCCAGGGCCGGCTGCACGATCACCATCGCGGCGGCCGCGGGCGGCGACAAACCCAGCAGACGCTGTAGCAGCGTTACACTAGAGGCCAGCTGCGGCGGCAGGGGAGCAATCTGTTGGCAGTTGACCGGTTGGTTATTCCGTTGGTCACACGCATGGCTTGTGTGGGGAATTAGGAAGCGGAAAAAGGATCTCTGAGGGTGGATGCGGAGTGCTGCTTGGTGGCCCCTCCCCCCGGGGGACTAGGGAGGTTAGGGAGCTCCCCTAACCCCCAAAGCTGTTCCTCCCGGAACCTTCCTCACTGCCTTCATTGCTTCCCAACCATCCCGCGTCCCAACCCGCTTCCTCAAACACTTCACAATACACGTTTCAAAAGAAGACCCCGGGGGTCCTCTCTCCCTTCTGGGCTCTGTAGTAGAGAGTCTCTACCTGGGCCCCACTGCACAGGAGCAAGGAGGGGGGTGGAGGTGGGGGGGGAGCTGCTGATGGCGGAGGTTGCCACGGGGCCTCCCTGACGTGGGTTGCGGCGGGTGATGTGGTGGTGTCCGACGGCAGCGGCTCCGGCCCTCGATTTCCATGGGCCGTCGCTCGGCCGGCGGCCAGCTTCATCAGCCGCCGCGCGGATGCAACGCGCGTCGGAATGACCCGTGGGTCGAGCGCCATGAGCCGAGGCTGGCGTACGAGGTATTGCAGCGCTGCGATCCGGGACAGCCCCAATGCCTCACACAGCGCCTGGCACCTGCGGGGCCGATGCCGATTACTGGGTTAGGTCCCATCGCGCGACATTATGCGAGATTGTGGGTGGGGCGTGACGGAGCCAGAGGGAGACGGTGAGATGGCGGGAGAGAGTGAACACTTAGCGGGACTCCGGGGCCTACGGGGGCGTAAGTGGAAACAACAACAACTGAGATACGGGAGGAGGGGAGAGAGAGGCACTGCGACAGAGAGAAAACGCAGCAGAGGGAGCTGCGCACACGTGTTCTCCTCGGGAAGGAGCTTGTGTGGTCCTCCCCCCCAGCCCCAAGAGGAATTCGGAACCCTGGTGCTCAGGTGTGCCAAGAATTCCGCTGGATCGTGTGTTGTGTGCGTAAGTATGTATGTGCGTCCATTATGTCGGCGCCAACATTACCCCTTGGGCCAGGAAAAGGCCCTAGCGCCGGCCCCGGCAATGCTGGCCTCTAAAACGAAGGGCCAGCCGAAACATGTGTCATAAAGACACATCATGAAGACTATTTTCCTAATTAACATAACTGTCCTAATCTGGATTTACCTGACAAGCACTTGTTTGCACGGTAAGGAACAAGTTCCCGACAGGGGCACTTGGGGCCACAGGACTATCACAGCATGGCGAGGTCCCAAAACAGGGAGCCGCACGCCGCACGCCGCACACACACACACACGGACTAGGTGAGTTCAATGTTCCCGCACTCCGCACGTGTCCATACATACCATGCCGTACACCATGCCGTACCTGGAAATGAGCGCCATGGATCCCTCCGCTGCCAGGGAGGGCTCCTGTGCGAGCCGCTGCATCGCCAAGCTGAGCGGCAGTACACCGCCGCCGCCGCCGTCACCACCACCACCACCACCAGGGCTCCAGCCCACCCAGGTGGATATCTCCGCGGCGGTTGCCTGCGGTGTCGCGGGTGGATCAGGGCTGAGGGCGACCCGAGGGGGTGGACATGGTGGTGGTGATGGTGGTGGTGGTGAGATGTGAGATAACGCGAAGTTCATGTGGATTCGAACACAGTTGGTGGATCCGTACGAATACAGGTGGTAGAATGTGCACGTTTCTCCGAATAACTCTTAAGTGCTAGTAGCGGTGTGCAGGACAGCGGCCCCCCCCCACGCACACAGGCCCCCGGTTCCGGTCCGCCTGCCCGCCGCATCTGCCCCCTCCCCTTGCATTCTGCACCTCTAGTTGGTCCACTCGCAGCTGCGCCAGCAGGGGCCGGGAGGCGATCTGTGTACAGCAGCAGGAAGAGGAGGAAGAGGAGGAGGGAGACACGGTGGATAGGAGGGTGCTAAGGAGGGGACAACGGGATGTTGAGGGGGTGGTTTCGCGGTTAAGTGAGATTTTAAGAGAAGCGCCAGAGCTGGGGGAGGGGAGTTCGCAATCACCATCAGGAGGTAGCCGCGCTAAGCAGTAGTGGGGCAAAGGTATGGAGGCCGGGACCGGAACTAGCCACCCGGTCAGCCTGGGTCAGTCCGGACCCACCGCCGCCGCCGCCCCCTCCACGGAGCAGCCCAGACGAGCCGCCAGGGCCCGCAACCGCGCCGCCACGCCGTACGATATGTCGCACAACAGCCCCGGTGCCGCCACGTACATTCTCCTGGCGACCTGAGGCTGCAAGCCCACCTCCCGCTGCAATTCAGAGGCCCTCTCATCCACTAGTTGGGGGCGGGTGGCGAAGGGGGAAGGGACGGCCCCCGGGGAAGGGGGTGGGGGTGGTAAATGTAGGAGCATATTACGGAGACCGCGGGAAGCCGGGGTCGGTACGTTTGTGTATATATGACGAAGGCTCGGGCGGGTCGGTGATATCGACCGTCATAAGAGGAGCCATCCGAGCGGTACTGTGCGTGTGTGCGTGTGTGTGTGTGTGCACCCGGAAGAGCCGGTCGCAAACGAGGCCCCAAGTGTACATGCGGCTATGCACCGCTATGCACCGCTGGGGGCCACACAAGTGTTTCTGGATGCGGTTTGGTGGTAAAGGGCTGCAGCAGCAGCAGCAGGGCTCGAAATGGAACCGGCGCAAGGACCTCAGCAAGGGGCCCGGGGACGTCCAGCTGGGGACACGGCGGGACCCACGGGTAGTGAGAGCTGCTGGCGCCCTCAAGGCACCCTCCTGGGGGCGGGCCTGCGGGGAGGGGTTCACCCCACTCCCTCCCCCCCTACCCCCCCCCAATCCAACCGCCAGGGCTGGGGGCACCCACGTATGCTCCGCTGTGTTGCCGGCGGGAGCTTGTGCCAGGTGGAAGCCCGGGGCAGGGAGTCGTTGGGCGCGAAACGGCCCCGCCGCCGCAACTTCCCCGCCGCCGCCAGGTGCCGCCGCAGCGCCAGCAGCCGTACGTCAGCGTCGCGATGGCGCGGGCCGTACACCACCTCCCGCTCTGCCGCCCGCCTATCTAGCCACCTCTGGCGGCTGCGGTAGCTCGACCTGGTGCGATCGGCTGCGGGAGAGGACCCACAGATAAGGCCCATCAGCCAGGTTGCCGTGAAGGAATGTTAGGGGACCGGGTATCGCGAATGGCCGTCAGTTACAGCTACTGAGTTACAGCTACAGGATGGACTCCCAGAATGCGGGTGCCAGAACACACAACCCCCGGTGCGGAGGGAAAGCGGGAGGGGAGGGGATTGCGGGGAGTTGTATGTCAACGTCAGCGTCAAAGTGAAGATAGATCTGCCAGCGAAAGAAAGGTCGGCAACTGTCAATGTCTGTCTGTCTGTCCAGTCGGGAGGCCGGAGGGACGGCATGATGGGCACGGAGATGTTGGGGATTGGGATGGGGATAGGGGTGGGGATGGGAATGGGGATGGGGAGAAGGGAGGTAGTGGCCAGGTACGGGACGCCGCTCGGGAGGGCGGCGGGGGCACCACCACTGCAGGCAGTGCAGTGGCTCCACCCCCTGGTGTAGAAGAGCCGTGTGGAAGCGCCACGTGGCTCTCTGGCAACGACCCCAGCACCCACCGGCTCCGTACATCCGCTCCAGCTCTTGAAGCTCCTCCGCTAGGCTGCCCTGCAAAGGACCATCACCACCATCACCTCCACCGCCGCCGCTGCCGTCAACACTGCTATCGCCATTGCCGTCGACGTGGGTGTCGTACGTGTTGTACATATTGTCGACAAGATCGCCGTCAGCCCCATCGTCGCTGCGACTACGCACCGCATTCGCCCCGCCGTCGCCCCTGCCGCGGCTGTTGCTGCGTCGTCGCGAGTCGGTGCGGTCCTGACGGCGGGGTGTAACGAGTCGTTCGTACCCGGGCCGTACAGCTGCAGCGTCACCGCTACCAGGACGACCGCAGACGCCACCGTCGCTTTGGAACTCTCCGCTGCCGCTGCTGCGGTTGCCGTCGGCGCCAGGCCCGCTGGGGCCTCGCCTTCGCCTGGCGGCTTGTGCAGCCTGCTGTACAGAATTATTGAGCTGGCGATGCGGTCGAGGTGGAAGTTGAGACTGGGCTTGGTGCTGAGAACGAGGTAGCGCCGATGGAGGGGTTTGGTAGGGCCTCTTGGGCGGCATGGATTGACCGAGGGCAGGGAAGGGTAGGAACAACGCTTGCGACTTCGCGGATGGCAGCCAGCTGCCGCCAACCAGATCGGAGATGAAAGCGCGCGACATGGAAGTCGTAACTTTGGTATTTGGCTGGTATTTGGATTCACAGAGCAACACAAGGCATGAGGGTCGTTGCCGTCGTCAGGAAACGACCGTTAGCTGCTGCCCGGAATCGACCCCCCACTCCTCGACGCCGGAATTGAGGCATGCTGTTGGCCTGGTGTACGGAAAGTGTGGCATCCCGCGGGAATGGCCTGTGGGTTCGCGGGGTGGGAAGGGGTCACCCAGGGGTTTCAGATGTCATGGTGCTTTTCGGCTTGTTTGCCCTCGCAGGTGCTGCTGCATAAATGCACCTGTCATTACAGGACTGGTTGCTGAGCAGCCATATTTATCCCGTATACCCATGCGTACCTAGTCATCGGTTGAAACATGACTAAGTTCAACCTTTTAATGTAACACGGCGATTGCGTATAACGTGAAAAAACTGATTTGCCATACGTGATAGCATTTGCTCCAGGAATACACCGCGCATGTCGCGTAAGCTGCTGCTTTCTTGGTCATTATGCAGTCCTTGCTTATCGTACAGCATATGTTGGAACTATGGTCAAAGCTTGACATGTTAAACTGCCGATGTAGCTGATGCGGCGTATCACTTGCTCCTGATCTGGGGCTGCGTGCTTTGGTGCTGACCATTGGCAAGCTAGTTCTCGTGTATTTACGATCAAGGCCGCGATAAAATCATCGGATTATAGAGATCGCAAGATTGCTTAACGAATAATGCGTCTCGGCAGCTGTCAGATGCGGGTGAGCGTGGATGTTTCTCATGCACTTGCCAAATCATTGCGAATCCCGAATAGGCTCGTAGGAATCAGCTAAACAATATACATCAGTACTTGCTAAAATCCTAAGCTCTTACATTTCAACCGCTTTATGCAACCTCGCATCGCTTCGCACGCCCTGCCTTCGCCCGTCTGGACCCCTTTGAGCTTTTCCTTCTACGGCGTCCCTCAGGCCTGCAGTACCATAGGTCGCTCGTCTAGGCATCTCCTCCAGCCGCCCTCCCTGCTACCGCACAAAAGCACGGCCGGGGCCGCAACCGCCGGCCCCCCCACCATCTCCGGCACAAGCCGAGCCCTACCACGGGACTCACGCCGGGCGCCGCTTCTCCGCGCCCCTGCGGTGGCGTCAGGCACGGGCTCACTGGACTCCTCCCCCTCCTCTTCTTCCCTGGAGTCGACTGATTTCAGCACCGCCACTGGTGCGACTGACTGACATGCCGACCTTTCACACATACACACGCACACACACACACACACACACACACACACACAGCAGCAGCAGCAGCACACAACCGTTGGCACTGAGAGACCCGGCATGCGATGCATTGTGTTGTGTTGTGCTGCCCAGGTTTCCGTTGCTTGCTAACGTGATGGACTGAAATCAGGCAGCACAGCACGTGATGCTGCCCTCCGATTGCCAGTGCTAATGGCGTCACCTGTCTGGGGCTCCCATGTCCCGCTTTCCCTTCGTGCTGCCAAGGAGATCTGTGCAGCCGCCGGCAGCCCCCTTTCTTGTTGCCTTCTCTGCCCCTTTCCCAGGGGCCCCGCCTCCCTGTGTCCACCTTTCGCTTCCTCACCCACTCACTGTCTGCTCCTCTAGACGGCCTTCCTCTCCGGACTGGCCCTGCCACCGCCCCTGTCACTGCACAGCCATCACCGGCCCGAGACACCGTCCCTGCACTGCACCGCTCACCGGGCCCCCCACCCCGCCGCCGCTGCCCTCCCGCCCTCCCCGCCCGGCTAGGGCCCCTAGGCGAGGCGGCTATGCGCCGCATGGCCGCCAGTCTTCGTATCGACCGGCCGGGGCGGCACCTCTTCCTGTGCTCAGACCAAACAGTGCCCAAGTGCTGCAGCAAGGTGCGGGAATATGGGTGAGGGGCTGAGGAGGGGGCGATGTTGAGGCTGGGGAGTGATGAGGAGGCTGGGGGGTGATGAGGGGCAGTTGAGAAGTGGGTTACAGGGGGCCGGGGCGGGGCGCAGGCAGGGGAAGTGGCCAGTGATAGGGACGGGGTTGCAGACAGGCAGGGTAGGCGGTATGGTAGGGGAGGAACACCGCCGCTCTGCCCCATACCACGTTATCACGTTTTTGAGGCAGGCAAGCAGACAGACATGTATGCACTATTTACATATGTACAGAGAGAGACCACAAATTTGTGTGTCTCGCCTATTCTATATTTCCTCCTCCGCCTCCGGTCCATTTCCCCCCTCGTCCATCTTCCTCTTTTCTCCTCGGTATGGGCTCCTCTTGAAGTCCTCAACGCCTCGCCTCGCGAGCTGCTTCGATTGTCACTTTCCATCCATCCATCCCGCCTGCCCGCCCTCACAGGAGGAAGGTATCCGCAGCTGGAATTACCTGAAGAAGAGGTGCAAGGTGCGCGCGGGGCCCTCTGTGTTTGTATTGGGGGAGAGAAGGTGAACGGCGTCATGCAACCGTGCTGCCCAGCCACCAGTCCCCAACACGTGCCGCGCCACAACCCCCCCCTCACACACACACATCCTTACATTGTCCTCCGGGACAGCAAAGCAACTCGAGCTGTGGCGGCCGCCTAAGAGGGCGCCGGGGACTATGGCAAATTGTTGGTTGTGTGTCGGCGGGGAAAGAAGAGCGCTGCCTAAGGGGACAAACGACATCCGCACTCCTGGCATACGCACAGCCGCAGGCGACACAGCCATTTGGGCCTCTTTCCGAGGGTAATCAATGCCTTACTGAGTTCGTCGGGACGCTTCTCTCCACCCCGTCGCGCAGGAATTGGGGCTTGAGACGGCGGAGCTGCCGCTGTGGCGAACCAAGGCCAACTGCTTGCGGATCTGTGCTATGGGGCCCGTGGCGCTGGTGTATCCGGATCAGGTGGGTCGGTGGGCGGGTCAGATGATGGGCCGTTAGCGTGTGTCCGGTTCGCAGTGCCTTGGGTGTCTTGAGATACCTGTTGCCAGTTTGCTAAGCTTCTGCTCGAGATGACATGTTTTTGATCGGATACTCGTGAGGCACTGTTCTACGGGATTCTAACGTTGTACAGGGGGGGAGGGGGCAGAACCGTGTATAGTGGTATTCTGGTGCGTCTCTCCGGGTGGGAGGTTGGGTCGGCGGGTAAGACGCCGGTCAATGAGCAGGATGAGGCATTGCTGTAATGCGCGGTGTCAGGCTGCCAGGAAAGAAGACATGGCATGGCCGGGGGCACGCAGAGCTAACCTGTGCTTTCTAGCACGGGGGGAAGCGGACCGATGAGTTGTTTATGTGACCAAACGCGAATCCCCCCTCGCCCCAGGTGTACTACCACAGCTGTAGCCCGGAAGTCCTCGAGCGGATATTACAAGAGCATATCATCTGCGGAAGGACGGTGGAAGAATACCGTATTACTGTGCCGAAGTGAGCTCAGAGACCTGTGTACTGCGTCGGTGCCTACCGTACTGCCTAAAACGAATCGATGCTCCAAAATTTCGAGGCACCCCTGAAAAGTGTCCTGGCATTTTTTCATGATTTTTAAATACGGGTCCGGCAGGCAACAATTTGCAAGTATGGTACAAAAGTTCGGACCTGGTGTGATCCGGTCCGTCCGCCCGCCCGCTTCTGTGATTTACTTCACTCCGTCAAACTCTAAACACCTATGAACCTGGAATGGACTGCGGCCTGTCCGCGCTTCGCTATCTGTTCCGCCTGCTCACATGACGACGTTGTTCCTCTATTTCAGTCGCACGCCCGCGGCTCAGAACATGGCCTGGGGCCTTCAACTCCGGCCCGTTTTCGCCAGGCTGAAGTAACCGAGGGGCCGACCTCCCATGAGTAGATATTGTATAATTAAAAGAAGATGATGCAACCCTAATGTGTTCCTGCCTTCAATATGGCATTAGGAGGTCGCGACAATTGTCGTGGAGTGGTCTCGGAGCGCACATGAATTCGGGGTCGCCGCTCACTCGGCAAGCCTGTAATTATGCCAGAATATAGGGCTACCTCCCGAATTTATGGAACGCGATCCTTTTCTGATAGTACGGTAGCATTTCTCGTCCATAAGCTTGGCATACCCAAATGGTTTTGTTGTAGGCTAGGAGATTGGAAAGCTTAGGTCAGTGACGGATTAAGTGTTTTCGATGACTCCTGCGTGTGTTGGGTGAGGTCCAGCACTATTGGACTATTGCAATATTTGTGCAGGATGTTCGTTAGCGATTGATATTGAGCGTTGGACAATATTGTGGTCTTTGCCTCAACACATATCAATAAGCATCATCATCTTTTGAAACCACACCGAAACCAGGCGGAGCTTCTGGAGCCGGGGAGCTTCTTACCACCGTTTTGCCAGCGTCGAAGCTATGTGATAGCATTTAATAAAGCTAGGAATTTTTCTTTTGTTTTACTCTTTCCAAGGATGAATTTTCGCTTTCTTCCATTTGAAGACTAGGGTCTTGGCCATGAAGCCGTTTTGCAGAGTGATTGTCAGATTGGTCATTAGCTTTGCATGCCTTCCCTACAGCATAGTGGCAAGGGCCTTTTTGACACGATCAATCTTGCGTCATCGTGGAGTGTGTTATATTGCTCTGAATCGGCAGCATTCCCGTAAGCAAAGTTCAAAACCAGGCGCACCGGCAACAGAGCGCATATGGGCTCAGCTACACCCAGAACTTGCGGAGCTTATAGTTAGCTTCCTTCCTAGGAACGAGCTCGCGACCGTGCGCCTAGTCAACAAGGCTGCAGCGGTCCAATTCTCTAGACCTCAGCACAAAATTATTAGGCTATCACAACAGGTTCCAAGACATGTGTTCGTGCATCGGTGGGGTGTTGACAATGCGACCCGTCAGCTGACACTTGAGGAGCGCATCAAGCTGTTGTGTCTCACAGCCACGAGCGGCAGCTTGGAAAACCTTAAACTCTTGTATTCACGCCAGGAGTTTGCTGTGTGCACCACAGAAGTTTTTGCAGCCGCGGCCGAGGCCGGACGGTTGTGCATCTGCCGATGGCTCCGACGGGTTGACTGCCCCTGGGGAGAGGACGTCGCCGAGGCCGCCGCACGTGGGGGTCATCTCGCGGTTTGCAAATGGCTAATTAAGCAAGGCTGCCCGCACCAGCATCGACGGCTGCTGACTGTTGCCGCGGGCTCAGGTCATCACGACCTCTGCATGTGGCTGCAAGACGCAGGCGCACCCCTCGGCGGCCGTGGCCCTCGTGCAGCCGCGCGTGCCGGCCACACGACACTTATGGAACACCTTTTGAGGCCCCTTACCCGCGAGCAGGTCGGCGTGCCCAAGCTGCTCGCCGCCGTGGCGGAAGGCTGCGACCTAGCGACACTGCAGCGCGTGTACCGAACCTTTGTTGAGTCCGGCAGGGGTGAGGTTGTTGTTGGTATCGGGCGCCTGGGAGAGGCCGCAGCTGCACGGGTTATCGCGGCGGCCGCTGGAAGCCCCACGCCGGACTGGCAGGCCAAGGTGGAGTGGCTCCGGAGCCGCGGCTACCCCCGCGAGGCGAGCGCCTGCGAAAGCGCTTTAGAGGTGCGTCCTCCGGCCGCAGGCCCCGCGGGCAACGCAGACCTGCAGCTCGAGTCGCCATCCGATATGGGTCTTAAACGATTGATCTGGTTGCATCATCATCAAGGCTTTCCGGTGGGCCCATGGGTAGCCTGTGCAGCAGCACGGCGTGGTGACGTCGGTGCGTTGCGCCTGGTGCTAGACGCGGGCATTGAGCTGCAGGACGGACGCGCTGCCTATGCCGCGGCGGAGCGCGGACACGTGGCCGTGTTGCAGACGCTGCACGAATGCGGGTGTGCATTGGCTGCCAATGAGTTGTCTGAAGCGGCGGCGCGGGGGGCTCACGTGGACACGGTTGCATGGCTTGTGGACGTGCTGGCAGCGCCTCTGACGGGGCGGCTGTTCAGCGCCGCGGCGCAGAGTGGTAGCATGGAAATGATGGCATGGCTGCAGCGACGAGACTGCCCTGCGGAACCGAGCACGCTTGCGTGGTCGGCATGGGTGGGCTGCTCCGATCAGATCGAGTGGCTGGCAGCGAACGGCTGTCCCATGGGGGTAAGTGCGTGCTGGCACCACACCACACGACACGACACCACGAATCCTTCTCCTGTGCTGTGCTGTTTGGTTTGTTGTGCGCTGCCCGCTTGGATGGGATGGAATACAGACGTTCGTACTAGGTGGTCAAACCAATTTGCGCCTTGTGAGGCATTGCAATGCATATTCATGTATGCCGAGATTGCGGCTGCAATGTGCAGCGGGCTCCACCTCATCGCACAGAGACGCTATAATGCATGCATGAGCAACCGAACGGGCGCTCGCCGCTCCGTGCAACCCGTTGACCCACCACCCGCTCTCCTCCGCCATCGGTCCACTCACAGGACGACGGGGAGCCGTACCTGTGGGCGGGCTACAATGGCGATTACCCTGTGCTCGAGTGCCTGCGTCGCCTGAGTTGTCCTTGGAGCCCAGACGGCGCCACCTTTACACGCGCCGTCTGCCTGGCAGGTGATGAGGAGCCAGGCCACAGCGGCGACGTGGGGTGGTGCTGCAGCCTAGATGTGTTGCAGTGGCTGGTCGAACATGGCTGCCCCGTGGACTGGCCCGCGGCTGAGAAGGTTGCACGGATGCGCCGCGAAGGTGAGGACGAGCTGCTGGAGTGGATCTCGGAGCAACGCCGGAAGTGGGAGGCTGCGCGGGACGCGGGCACGAGTGCGACTGGTGGAGGGCGGCTGGCTGCAAGGGATCCGTCCGAAGAGGGAACCCCGGAGCCGGTGGCGGCTGCGGGAACCCAACCTCCGGCGTAAGAGCGTGGGTGGTCCGTGGGCAACGGATAAATCCCTGACGGGGATCAGGGGCCGCACTGTTGCAGCAATGTGTAGGGAAATGCGATGGATGTCGGTTTGGTGTGCGAGATCACCAGGTAAATGGACGACACTGGTTGGACGACGACGACGACCCTGTTCAGCTCGTGTGGTAGAACGAGCGCCTGTGTGTAGGTAGTGCTATATGCGCGACATGCATGTGTTAGTGAACCGTCATGTGTGTGTGTGTGTGCGCGTATTCCCGAACGGAAGATTCCGCAAGTGTCTGTGTAGTGAATGACAGAGGAGAGGGACTGAGCATTGGAGCCGTGTAGAGGGCTTGCAAGGCGAAAGGTGTCATGCAGGTAGCGTTGGGAGAAAGGCTATGCGCCGCCGCCGTGCAGCCGCGTCTTTTGCATTGCTGTGTTAAGTTGGAGGAGAGGAATGAACAACAGCAGGCGTAGCAGCATTTTTCATGTGCCCGCCGGGGATGCGGATCTGGAGCGCTGTGGAAGCTGGAGATGCGGACTTTTGAGGTGTGCCAAGGTACATGTAGGATGAAGCGGCACTGAGTGGCTATTATTTTTTCTATCTGCAGTGTCTGTGTTGTGGTTTTGTGCGACATCTTTGATTCAATTGGGGGAGACCCGTCCGGACGTCAAAACGTGAGTCGTCCCGGCGGCCTGGACGATTGGATCTGTGGCTTAGGATTCATAAGACATCGGGCATGCTGCGAGACGGAGTCCCGTCGACGTGTTTTCTGTTGTGTTTTTAGTTGCCTTCATCAAGGACAACAAGCTAGGCGAGTACAAATGGAACTGGAAAAACGGACCTAAGTATGCAGAGTTGTGGTTCGGCAGTGTTGTTGCGCTCAAGTTGTGTTTGGTCACGACGTTTTGTGTGTGCATGTGTGTGTGTGTGTGTGTGGCATGTGTGCGAAGTATCCGTCCCCTCGGCCCCTCCGCACAGGCAGCTCTGCTGGCGCGCGGGGCTGCGGCAGCGCCCCGTGTGTGCCGCGGCTGCGCCTGTGGAGGGGCGTTTTTGAACGGCGGACACAGTCCCCTCTGTATATTGACTGAGAGTTCCTGTAGCATATACTTCATCGGGAAAAGAGATAAGGCAGGCCGCAAGGCGGCACGCGTTCGTCGTCATGTGCCGACAAGCAGGAAAATACTTTAGGATTATGTCGCCATCCCTTGGCGTGTGCACATTGTTATAGCGATACTATTTTCTTGGTGTTGCACGATACTGTGTGTCGTCTTCTTGACGCGTTTGGGCCGATCGTGGCAACATGCTTTACACAAAACATGTGAGGGGTCAATCTCTTTATGTAGTTTAACCCTTCATGTTTTTTGCCAAATGGAGCATGAAGCGCCATGGCATAGCTCTGGTATGGTATGCCAACATGGTATTCCTTGTTTATGAAATGCAGTGGCGCCTGTGCCCCACTGTATATGCAGGCAGGCGTACGCAGCTGCATCATAACCCAGTCGGCGTTTGCTTTATCGAATGAACGACAGCGACCGGACTGTCGTGTGCATGCGTGTTGGTATTCAGGGCTGTTGCCGCAGAGTTCGCTGTGTTTCAAGTCGAATCGCTCCCTGGCGTGAGTGATGATTACCAAGAAAGCTAAGGTAGCGGCCAAAGGAAAGGGACTTAGAGCGGATTCCCAATTCACAATTTCAGGGAGCTGCCTGTTAGGAGAGGCGGCCCAAGAGCTGCAGTACCGTACAGGCCTAGCGAAGCGGTTTTGTTGGGCTTCGCGGGAAAATGAGGTTGAGGAAAGGAAGTGCCAAGTGGCACTTGACAGAGCTTTTTACACGAGCGTTCCAGCAGTGAAGGCATTGGTGAAGATTTACTTTTCCTGCGGTTTACGTGCTGCAGCTCCAAAAACCGTAAGACATGGATACCTTGAATATGCTTAGCGAAGATTTGGATGAGATCCGTCCGAGGAAATGGTCGCGTACTTCCTGGTGGTTGTCCTGTGAGATAACAGATTGTGCTTCTCTTGTACCGTGCAGGCAAGCGCAGGTCCCACTGGGGAGCAACCGTCGTAACTCATTTGGTGCGTGATAATCTCCCCTTCCCCCCCTCCCAACGTCGCGCCGGGGCCGGCCGCCGGCTTACGGTGCCACTTCCGTTGAGTCGAGTTGGGTCCATTTCAACGTCCAAATCGGCGACATTCCTTCATCTTCTTGAACGCTGATCGTTTGCGATCTAGGTGTCAGTTGGAAAGGGCCAGGGCAGGCTGACTGGCTGGCTGTTAGGGTTCGCGTACTCGTATCATGCTCGTAAGCGATTTGGAAAATTGTGTTTATAACGCAGGTAAGCCTCCGGGAAAGGCGTTAGCCTGGAAAAGGTGTCATGCTCAGCGAAGCGAAGGGTCCGAGTCGTTTTGTATGTGAGGTGGATGTCGGTCCTGGATGGAAAACAAAACATCACCCGAGGTCCAAGGCATAACCAGACAGAACATCTGTCTCCCTTGCCGCCACAGCCGCTGCTGCCTATCTGCACCTTTATTATCCGCCTGCAGGCCTGCTCAAGCAGCTGCCAAGGAGCAGCTGCCAGCGTTTACACGCAACACTGTGAAGGCCGACGATGCTGTAGAAAGCTGCCCGGTTGCGTTTGGATCCTGGATCCTTATCACGTGCTGCTATGTGCTGCGATGGTGGGCTCATACGTGTAAGTACGTTAGATGGCCCGTTTCGTCTTCCTGTCTCCCGTTCTTTTGCTGTAGTTTCTTTGCAACAAACTCATATTCATGGATCGATTTGGTAAATTTCTCTCGCTGGTAATATGTTCGTGCATTTGCCGTTGGGTTCAAGAATGTCCAGGTAGGAACTGAGGTAAGAATTTGATATGACCCTGACAGTCGTCCATGGCGAGCTCGGCCAGTGAAGCTAATGCAACAGCAAGCTTGCAACAACGGGGTAACCATGCGCGCACAGCATGCAGCGTGCATCCGTATTGGCGGCTGGAAGCATCGCTGCATCCACTAGCTGTCCAATGGACCTCGGCAGCAACCTTTATGGCAAGCGCCATGCAACAACAACAATCACGTGCACACAAATCCGCACAATGGACGCTAAACACAAGATGAAATACCGAAAAAAAATCTGTCCAAGCCTTACACGATAATTTGCAGTCATTTCAATGATGCCTCCTAGTCTTCCATTAAGTGTGCGGCAGCACCGTAGGTGGACGGAAGCGGCAGTAATTCCGTACAACCGCTACGTGGGGTCGCGCCCTCGACTTTTGCGCCATAGCGGTTTGAGCGCTAGGAATTCATACATACGAATTTATGCATTGTAGTTCGAGGCTTAGTACTGAGATGAACTTGCTTGAATATTTCTCGTACATTTTGCTCTCTGCCACCGTAGCAGTTGAGCGCGCGTCAAAAAGGTGTCCTGCCACAAAAAAACGGCTGTAATCCTTACATTGATTTCATTTAAATATTATCCTATCACACTTACAGTAACTGATATCACAAGTGTCGCAGTTTGGCCAATTCACAATACTACTTTCGCCTGCCTGCAGCACAGCCTTTACCTTGACAGGGCCAGGAGTCGATACTGTAGCGTATCCACATTATGTTAACACTCCTATCGCAGCGATAACCGGACTGCCCTCATGTTGGACGACACCTTACGTTTGCTCAGCATTCCAGTGAGGACACAGCTTCCAAGGAAATGCTGGCTGAAGTAGGTCCACCAAATCGATACAAACGTTATCGCTTATAAGGACTCAACAGGTGCAAGGTAGGGGACGCGCTGGACAGCTTGAAGATAGGGCTTCGACGTTTCCCCTGCGTTGGTTTCGAACGACGGCGGAAGCCATGACTCTTCCGAGCGACTCACGAGAGTTATCCTCAGCATCTGAATTAGAGGAAGCCAGCAAGGTGCCTTCGGTGCATGGCGACGGGTCTATTTCTCTCACGGACGATGAAGGCTGGCCTACATGCTCCTCAAGGAGCCGCTGCCGTCGCCCAAAGTGGACAAGAGAAGAAGAAATGGTTCTTGTGGAAGCTCACTGCACTTTGGGAAATGCTTGGGTCGCTATTGCAGAATGCCTTCCTGGCAGGACGCCTTCGGAGGTGAAGGTAAGTCAGTTGAGCGCTGGCCAGCAGCACAAGCCGACCGGTGAAACGACTATGACGTGGGCATCATATGCTCTGGGGTTATATATTTAGGCTCCTCGTTTTAAAACCATCGAATGCCGAATGCTATTCTGCCGCGTCAGCGGCAGCGAGCGAAGTCTTTTCGACCGGGCAGACTTCAGGCAACGGACTCGCAAGGAGCACAGAACTGTGCAATTCATTGTTATGCCGGGCGCGGTGGGGCACCCAGTGGCTTTTAGCCTCTTAAATTCGTTCAGGAGCAGCAAGTATTTTCCGAACTTTCACGAGACGCTGCTTCACACAACAGACCGTTCCTAGCTGCGTGTGTTGTGATCTTGTCGGCCAGTAGCCGTCAATGAAAGCAACGTGACACCCTGACAAGCAAAGCTGTCGACACATAATGCCCTCCTGCACACCTCCAGATCTGCCCTGCGTAAGGCTGTTTTTGGACAACAGAAATCAACTTACATCACGGTTGCAGACAATTTAGAAGATGTACTTTTCCTATGGCCGGGGTCAATGGCTTCATGTCTTGCTTGCTTAACTTGGCTATATCTGTGGGATGGGGATCCCGATCTACGCCTCCTTTCCAATGCAGAACATTTGGCACAGCACGCTGCGCGCACGCAAGCTGGAAACTCGCTCTATGCTTCGAGCCTATGTAACGGCACTCAAGGACAGGGCCGACAAGCCGGCAGCTCGGCAGCAGGCCATGCGAGCTGCACAAACGTGTTTGAGTGAGACCGCCGGCGGCGACGTCTTCCCTCCGGGCAAACGGGTAAGCTAGCAGTCCAGGGCACCCTGCTCCCAAGAGCATCCTTATTCCTACGTGAGTTGCCTAACTTGGCTTAGGAACATGGACATGTCGCCGGGTATGCCTGGCGGCAGGTGCTTGACGTAGATGTTATACTGCATGTATGGATGCTGGCTTCGCCATGTGCGCGGCTTGCCATAGGGCCTGATACGCACACACACATACACACATATACACATACACACACATACATACAGACAGCGGGAGGGAGGGAGAGGAGCAAAAGAAGACAGGAACGTCCGCCTCACGGACACGCAGCCCAGCCTTAGCAATGTCCGGCAGGGCCTTACCTCCCCCCGGCGGGCAACCTGCCACCCCACAGGACCCCACAGGATAATCCTCCGGGTGTACCGAGATTCACTTCCATCACCCGGCCCCACCGGCACGTTGGCTCGCCGCGCTATTTTTCCTTTTCTCGCAGACGCACAAGCGGTCAGCTGCACAACAACAGCAGCAGCACCAGCCGTCGCAAGTGCGGACGCGTGACACGTGCGGTCCGCCCCCTCCTGCCACCGCATCCACATCCGCACCTGCAGCGGGAGCTGGTGCGGGAGCTGGAGCTGGCCCCAAGCCAACTGAACAGGACGACGCTGGTGCGGCAGGGACCCAGGCGCTCCGTAGACCCAGCGCCGGCGCCGGCGCTGACGCAGCCGCCTTCACCTCCGTGGCGGCGTTCACCCTCTCAGCGGGGGCCACTCCCACAGCTGACACCAGGGCGGCCGCTGCTGCTGCTGCCGGAGCGGCTGCTGCTGCGGCACCCACTTCCGGTCACAGGTCCAGCCTTGGCAGCGAGTGGAGTACCGTTTCGTCCGGTGAGGCGGGTTCGTGTATATTATGTTGGGAGATGCCTGGGCGATATACGTGCGACAGCTTGCTATGACTCCTGCGTGGCGACCGTGTCACACTCGGCGACTCTTCGGGCGTTTCCTGGGCCATATGTCAACGTTTCTAAGGCGCGACTATTTCGGTCTCATCGATATAGCGTCTGTCTGGTGAATCCTGCCGCTGTGTAACATGGGGCACGTGTGTGGGTGGCCGGAACGAGCCGCGGTCGGTGTTACTGCGGTGTTACGCGGATGGGGGATGTCCTCGGGGGGGAAAGTCAGTCGAGGAGCGCGCCGCAAAAGCTGGCTTGCAGCTAGCCAGACGGCTCGTGCGGCCATTCCATCGCGGTGATACGCCGCTGTGCAGCTCTGATTACGGTAAATTGATACCCCCCGTGTTCCCAAGTTATCGCTGTCCACGCTCTCACGAAGCCCTCGAAAGGCCCAACAACTCCCGAAGGAGCGAGATGGCCCCCATGAACCCAATCCCGGTCTCACGTGCCCCGCTGCTGCCTTGGTTTCCTTCTCATCCTTCTTCTTGTTTCTCCATAGCCCGCGTCGCAGCAATTGTCTCCCCCCCCCCTTGTGGATTCCTCGCCCCAATCACCTCCTTAAACCTCGGCAAACACAGGAGCTCAGGAGCCGTGTCATCCATCTGCGGGAGGTCATTCCGCCACCGCCACCGCCACCGTGCATCTGCCATCCGGCCCCAGCAGCGGCGACTTCACGACAGCTACAGCGACCCCACCGCAGGTCCTGTCCTTCAGCCCCACCGTGAGCCCCGCGAGCTCCATCTACGCCCTCCAGCTGCCAGTACCGTCACCCGCTGCTGCGGCCGCCAACCCCAGCGGGCACCGAGCCAGCGCCGGGGCTCTGGTAACCCTGAGCACCACCGGCGGCCGCGTCGGCTCTCCAGCGGTGCAGCACTCGCACTCTCCAGCGGCGGCTGCGTCGGCCGCAGCCAATTTCAAGGCAACCCTGCCGCACAGCCTTGCCGCTATCACCAGCGGCAGCGGCTCCGCTGCCGCTGTTTCTACTGCCACTTGCGGTGGCGGCAGCGGCGGCGGCGAGGCTGCCAGTTCCCCCGGTTGGCTCGTACCTTACGTGACATCAACCCTGGCGGATGCGACGGACTCACAGCTGGTAATGAGGCAACAGCAGGCGACAGCACCGCATGGCTGGGGGCAAGGACACGGGCTCGCGTGTTCATCAGCGACGCAAATGACCTGGGAACCGGGTAGCGTTACACCGGCAACACCGCCGGGCGTTGCGGCCCACGCGGCCGACAGCTGCAGCGGTAGCGGCGGCGACACGCGCAGTCTCTGGGCCGGTGTTAGCGGGCGGGCGTTGATGAGCCCAACCGGGGCACATCCTGGCACGCAGGCGGCTCCCTTGGCGGTGGCCTCGTCCGGCGCCACCATTGCGGCGAGCGGCTGCCCTGCGGCGTCGAAGCAGCCCTTCGCTGTGTCCACGGAACACACAACCGCGATGAGCGGCTCGCAGTTCCGGGGAGCCGTACCGATCCCCTTTAGCGGGCTCGGCAACGGCCCCGCAGCCACCAACAGCGGCAGCGACGGCGCCGGTATCGGAATTGTTACGATGGGACTGTACGGCATCATGGACGAGGAGTTGCTGGCTTGCATAGGGGCGTGAGACCTTGGACGAGGGCGGGAAAGAGGGCGAGAAAAAGAGAGAGGGAGAGAGAGAGAGAGAGCACGTCAAGAGGATGAGAGAGTGAGTGATTGTTTTCAAGTGAGTGCGGGTGCGTGGGAACACGCGGGTGTCGAGCAGGGAGGCTCAGCTCGGATGCTCCGACCGTCGAAGATTGAAGAGCTGTGCATTGGGGATGGAGGAGGAGGGGAGGCGGTTTCGCAGGAAATGGAAGACAGGAGGCGCCGGGACCAGCCCGGCGTCCACGGACTTGGGACTGCGGGGGCCTGAGGAAGCGGTGGGTGCAGCGGGGCAGCACAACCGCTCGAGAAGGGAGGAAAGTATGTGTTGCTTCTTTGCGGTCATTGCATTTGCGGCGTTTCATGAGCATTTTGAACTGCCTAACGTCTTGAGGATGTCAGCGAAAAGGAACGTGCGATATATATAGCTGGCGATTTTTGGAATTGCAGGATGGTGGCCTGGCGCGCCGAGTGTGCGCTGCGACGCCTACACCGAACTGGGGTGGTGGCCTGGGACGTATATAACTATGTATGTGGGATGCGTGTGTGTATGTATGTATGTATGTATGTGCGCAATTGCGCTTTGTGAAGGATGTAGGTTGTATAGGGTGTGGTAGGATGGCGGCGGTATCGTGGCGGTATGGTAGCGGAACGGCACGGCAGGAGGAAAATAGCGGCCCGAAATTTGGGACCGTGTGAAGAAAGCCCGCCCCGTGAGCACCATGGGATTTCTGGCTCAAGGAGGGCGTAAATATGAGGACTGGCCTATACAGCGGAACCGGTACCGACAGCGCTCAGCTCGCTCTGTTTCATAGCAGTAGGTGCTGTGATATTCATACACGCAGGGCTGGGGTACTTTGCGCCACTTTCCGAGGCTGATAGGCGTGCTCACATGCGCGCGAGTTTTCGGTTCTGTGGGCTTGCATGCATGCATAAATGTATATATGTATGTATGCAAGTGTTTTATGTGTTCGCTGGTGCTGGCAAAGTCGCTTCCAAGGAATCAAACAGCCGACGAGCGCATTTTGCGAGCGCAGCAGCGGGCGCATCCGCATGTCGGCTACACCGCTGCCATCACCTAACTGCCTGGAAGCAGAAATAGCGATTTGTTCCAGTCTGTGGCCTGGCCCCGCAGGAGTCGCTCAGGCTCGGGAACAGGTTGCAGGTAAATGGCTGCGCTGGGGCGATTCAGTTGCAGTTTCTTGTCGATTAATCTTCTGTGTAGTACCGTTTCAAGCGTTTTAATGGTTATTAGCCGAGCATCTAGCAAGGAGTTGAGAGTGCGAGCCGGTGCTTTTAATTAAGGGCAAAGCAGCGCGGCATGAGAGCTATGGTGCATGTGTCTTCGCGGAATGCAGTAATGGTTCAGGAGGAAGCACCAGGCGGGTTGTCGCATGGGCGGGGAGCGTGATGAAGGCGAAACGGCACGCGGTGTGAGTGCGGCCTGCGGGCGCCGATTAGCGCTTGCTTAGATGAAAACATAGGATTGCCACTAGAGGACCTAAAAGTAGGTGTCGGCCCAATTGTCGCGGCTTGGCGTTTTGGCTAATGTTTGTAGCCGCGGATGAAAGCCTTAGTCATTCACAATGATAGGGCCATCCGCTTGCTGCCACTTAGGCCCTTGGAATATGTAGGGCACAACGCATGCTTAGTTCCCATGTAGGGCCGATCCTCTGCGCTAACCTCGGGATCGTCTGAGATAAGCCCAAGTTTCGCGGTAAGTTCGCGCCTCGAGGCTTTGTCCTCCGCTTATACATTAGTTTTTAGAGCATAATGCTTTCTATCGAGGTTCTGCTTTCTAAGAAACTAGAAAGGCCGCCGTTGCGCGAGGTGGGGGCGCTATGCAGGGACGAATTGGCCGTCCCGGCGATTAGAAAGATGGAAAATAACGGAATTTGAAACGCTTTATCTAGTTCGGGTTCGCCATCATCCACTCCTGCCTCGTGCCTTATTGTGGCCGAGCTTATTCCTGTCGCTTTCGCGCTTTATCCCTCCTTAGGTGCGCGTCTACCTAGAATTTGCTTAGTCCATCCAAGCTTTAAGGATTGTATTTTTGCATTACCGTGTCCGAATGGCGCCTGTCCCTTCGTGGCTGGCATGTCCCCGTTTTCCCTGAAGGGGCGAGAAGGGGCGGCAGGGGGCGGTTATTGACGGCTAAGCAGGCACTCAATTGTACAGGTTTTGTACAGTGGCATTGAATCTGTATCTATTCACTTGAAGACTGCCTTTTCGGAGTTCTTGCGGTCGCTGTTGCTGCTACTACCTGCTGCACATGCAGTTTCGGGCGCATTTCACCGAGGCAATTGCCTGGTAAGGACGGAGCTCAGTTTTTTTTAAGAGTGACACTGGTCCTGACAAGTGAGCCAAGCTGAGCTGTGTGCCTTGTATAGTTGGTATCGTGCAGGATGATGAATTGTACAATATGTAAAATGAACGCCAGTAGATGAAAGGTAGTGCCGAGTACGTTCCCCAGACAGGCCTCAGCCCGCCAATTTTCCGTCTCCTCTAAGAAGCCCAGATGAGCACCGATAAACACGTTTACCTAATGCACAAAATTTTGCGTACGCACCGTTTCCCAAAACGCAATTTCGGGCTGGTCAAGAGAAGTAGGTCGGAGTCGCAGATGTGACCCTGGCTACCATTATCGACGTGGCCCGTTTAAACACGATTTCACAGCTTTGTGTATATCTCTCATTTCTGGAAGTGTGACATGGGCAACCTAAAGCCTTGGCGATGGGCCTGCTGTGGCCGAGCAATGCTAACGATGAGGCTCAGGACCCTTATGTATATTTAGATCATATTTCGTTTTATTCTTGGAGTCATATCGGTACTTAGGACCAACGGCCTTTCCTACGGGCGCACGACTGTTCGACTTCTCGTTCGGACGCTCAAACCGACTGCCAAAGGCATGTTTTAACACATTCGCCTGCTCGGTATAACCGCAAGCATTAACCGCTCGGGTTGCGAAAGCCTGTCGACCAAGTGAACCAACTGGCAACTCTTATAACGCAGCTCGATCGCGCTGACATACCACACCAACAGGTTACCAACAAAGAAATATTGATATTGACTTATTTTTCGAGAGCACAGGTGAAGCGTGACTCATGGCAAAAAGAAAAGAAAAGAAACCCTTCCAATCCGTTACTGTAACGAGTAGAAGGACGAGATACGAGTATTAATAAAGCGGAAACGATCATAACAGATTGTATCGGCTAGTTGGTTCTTGACAACTAAATGTCCGCCTAGACGGAACTAACCGGTGGAAGGATATACCCCTGGATAAGTACGGCTGTACGATAGTACGGCAGGAATTGTTCCGCCTATGCGTTACAAGTAATAGCAATGAGGATATGCTAGTCATTACCGTAATTAACGGAATGCTCATAACAGTTACGGGGTCCCAGCAGAACGATTAGGGTGACAGCTTCCTCAGTTAAAGCTGGAAGCTGGCATAGGCCCCCTTTTGCAGCCACTGCAATCTGCACCACTTCGACTCGCACCGCTGTTTTGCCATATTGCGGAGCCACGCCACATTGCAGTCGTGTGGGAGGATTGGACAATCAAATGCATCACGCGTTACTGCTATCCCGCGACCGTGCCATCTAGCCATCTAGCTAGGGTAATGGCTGGTTGTTAACCTGCATGCCTCCATTCTAACCCTTAATGCGCTGAACATCTTGGCCTCATGACCCTCTTGGTCGTTTACACACATACATACATACACACATACACACATACACACATACACACATACACACATACACACATACACACATACACACATACACACATACACACATACACACATACACACATACACACATACACACATACACACATACACACATACACACATACACACATACACACATACACACATACACACATACACACATACACACATACACACATACACACATACACACATACACACATACACACATACACACATACACACATACACACATACACACATACACACATACACACATACACACACAATGAATGTATGAATGAAATGAGAACCGAGGACGGTAACCAGGCGTGTAGGGTTCCTGCCACTTCCTGGCCCATGTACAGAATCAAAACCAACACAGTAGTTACAGAGTTCCATAAAGTTTCGTAAGTTCCTTCAACTCCCGCGATTCTGAATGCGTGCCTGAGAGTTTTGGGGCAGACCCTGCAATTGGTCTAAATTGCTCGGTAGAAGGGTTGAAATTGGCACGGGGTCTACACCTGGGACAAGTTGAATTGCCGGGACAGGCCCTTGAATTGGCCTGACAGGGATACGAATTGGCCTGGCGGGGACATTCCGACAGTCAGAATTAGCCTGACAGGGACACGAATTGTCCTAGCAGGGACATTTGGACAGTCAGAATTGGCCTGTTCAGGGTGTCAATTTAGGAAAGCACGGGAATTGTGCGACCGGGGCAGTCAAAAGAATTGCTCTCCCCGACCGTGTGCCCTACCCTCTAGTCGCCACAGCGAAGGGGACGTCGTGCGCGCGGTCGTGCCACATCGTCCCAGACTTTGCCTTCAGCACAACAGTATGGATCCCGAAATTATAAAAATGCAACGCGAAGATGCAATACAGCTGACAAAACTCAATCTTTACGGAAGGGTAAGAGACACACATATAAGGGGAGGAGAGGAAATGAAAAAAGAAACGAAAGAAAAAGAAACAAGCAATAATTCAGCCACATATTTCGCTCGATTTTCCGACGTTCTGCTGTTGTAAATAATTCTCGAGCAGGCGCGATCCGCACGCGCGACCGCGGAATCTCTCGCCCTCGGGGGCATACGAACGGATTTCTCTAGACTCTTCTCACAATCACCACATCAATCAAAAACAAGCGTCAAATTACGGAACCAACGTCATAAGGAAGCGTTGTCAGAACTTTCCAAACCCCTCTTGGGCCATAACCGCCCCTAAGAGCTCAGTAAGCACTTAACAAGTCTCCCTACATGCACGGCCTTCAACTT